CTTACTGTTTGTGCAAAAGTTTTGACACACTTACTCATTCAAGGGTTTTTCTTTATTTTTTACTATTTTCTACATTGTAGAATAATAGTGAAGACATCAAAACTATTAAATAACACATATGGAATCATGTAGTGACCAAAAAAGTGTTAAACAAATTAAAATATATTTTAGATTTTAGATTCTTCAAAGTAGCCACCCTTTGCTTTGATGACAGCTTTGCACACTCTTGGCATTCTCTCAACCAGCTTCATGAGGAATGCTTTTCCAACGGTCTTGAAGGAGTTCCCACATATGCTGAGCACTTGTTGGCTGCTTTTCCTTCACTCTGCCACCCGACTCATCCCAAACCATCTCAATTGGGTTGAGGTCGGAGGATTGTGGAGGCCAGGTCATCTGATGCAGTACTCCATCACTCTCCTTCTTGGTAAAATAGCCCTTACACAGCTGGAGGTGTGTTGGGTCATTGTCTTGTTGAAAAACAAATGATAGTCCCACTAAGCCCAAACCAGATGGGATGGTGTATAGCTGCAGAATGCTGTGGTAGCCATGCTGGTTAAGTGTGCCTTGAATTCTAAATAAATCACTGACAGTGTCAACAGCAAAGCACCCCCCACACCATAACACCTCCTCCTCCATACTTTACGGTGGGAAATACACATGCAGAGATCATCCGTTCACCCACACCGCGTCTCACAAAGACACGGGGGTTGGAACCAAAAATCTCAAATTTGGACTCCAGACCAAAGGACAAATTTCCACCGGTCTAATATCCATTGCTCGTGTTTCTTGGCCCAAGCAGGTCTCTTCTTCTTATTGGTGTCCTTTAGTAGTGGTTTCTCTGCAGGAATTCGACCATGAAGGCCTGATTCACACAGTCTCCTCTGAACAGTTGATATTGAGATGTGTCTGTGAATTGAACTCTGTAAAGCATTTATTTTGGGTTGCAATTTCTGAGGCTGGTAACTCTAATGAATTTATCCTCTGCAGCAGAGGTAACTCTGGGTCTTCCTTTCCCGTGGCAGTCCTCATGAGAGCCAGTTTCATCATAGCGCTTGATGGTTTTTGCGACTGCACTTGAAGAAACTTTCAAAGTTCTTGAAATGTTTCGAATTGACTGACCTTCATGTCTTAAAGTAATGATGGACTGTCGTTTCTCTTTGCTTATTTGAGATGTTCTTGCCATAATATGGACTTTACCAAATAGGGAAATCTTCTGTATACCCCCCCTACCTTGTGACAACACAACTGATTGGCTCAAACGCATTAAGAAGGAAAGACATTCCACAAATTAACTTTTAAGAAGGCACACCTGTTCATTGAAATGCATTCCAGGTGACTACCTCATGAAGCTGGTTGAGAGAATGCCAAGAGTGTGCAAAGCTGTCATCAAGGCAAAGGGTGGCTTTTTGAAAAATATATTTTGATTTGTTTAACACTTCTTTGGTTACTACATTATTAAATATGTGTTATTTCATAGTTTTGAAGTCTTCACTATTATTCTACAATGTAGAAAATAGTAAAAATAAAGGAAAACCCTTGAATGAGTAGGTGTGTCCAAACTTTTGACTGGTACTGTATATCCCTATTACTTCAAGTTTATAATTTATATAGATGGAAATATGTAACCTGTAGATTAGACTACGAGTATGTGGGTTGTTGTGCCCTACTGTGATACAAAATGCAATTGTATGCATGGACTGTCTCACTTAGATTGTAAGGTCTAATAAATAACTAAACATGGAAAGTACATCAAGTTTTGGCCAAAATTACATCAAGCACAATAACACATTGCTATTAACTCAGAAGAAGATTTGGGTTATCAACTGATTTTATAAAGACATTCAACTGACCCGAAACAAGACAGGCAATATAACTGAACATTTCTTTCTCCCCCCAAAACAATGTCAATGTCATATTTTAAAACACAACCGTACATGGTAACATACAGTCATTCAAAGACCAACCCACTCCTCTAAAATACAGACAAGGCAACCAAAACAACACAATACATTTTACTGCATCAGAGACCCATTTAAAGAGCACATTCATAGTGGACACATACCGTATGCAGACGGACCTGCCTTGGAATCGTCTTAATGATGTCATTTTCTGATCGTAAACTGGTTTTCTGGTTGAGAAGAAATCATATAACCACATTACAACCAACGGGTCTCTGTTACAACCAGGTAAAGACATATTTTTCACGACAAGAAGATATAATGGGAAAGACGTCATATTTTGGTTGTTATCTGGTCAGATTACAACTAGACAAAGACGTATTTTTCTAGTTGCTAAAAATAATTAACTTCTGCATAAACTTTCACACAACCAGTATACAACCTGACTATGACGTCATAAAATAGATTATACTGAAACCAGTTTTGCCCGCTGGGTTACCTGTCAGATCAAGCCTGACATTGGGTGAGTTCCTACTGGTCAATGACGTGTCTCCCTGACATCACACAGAGCTGTTATCATTTACACTTCTCATGACCAATCCTGATCATTTCAGGAGTATTGGCTTTGGCTTAGGTGATACATTCACTCATGGAAAATGAAATGATCAAATCATTTAGACTTAAGTTGGAAAGCGGATATTCACACTGATGATAAGTTTAAGGTTTAGGGCCGTTCAAGTGAGAGCACATTCACATGGTCCATAGTGTTGGTTGGTATATGGGTGCCTACTGCCTATCAGTGATGCTCCACTTCTGAGCCGAGTAGCTAGGTGGTGCAGCTGTTCCTCTCAGATAGACAACGAGTGGAGCCACCCAAAAACAACAGTGAACAAAAGGCAAAATAGTAGTTTGTTGTAACATGTTTTCAAATCACAAGCCAAACCAGTATCCTCAGAGTCAACTTTGAGAGTCTATGGGCATATATCCATTTAAATATATATTTTTCACTATACTATGTTTGCCATTTAGAAGGACTCCCAATCTGAAAATAAATCAGACTTTTCTCATCAGTAACAATAAGAAGTGAAGAGCTAGACTTCCTCATTCTTTTCTACCCTTGAGTGTGAAATATAAGCTATTGAGTATAACATCATCTTGTAAGAAAAGGAAAAAGGACAATTAGAAAATCTGAAGCTCAAAATGAGTCTGTAATATAAGAATTAATGTGAGAGGACTAGTTATAACCACGCAGACAGTATTAACAGTGACTAGTTAATAATATGTAATTCACCCCAAAGTTGTCATTTATGGCCAACTCTAATTCTCAATTTTTCATTGTCATCGCAGTTTATCTTGAAGATTAAAGCAAATTATTTTTTTATTACCAAAAATATTCATTTTAGCTGTAAATCCTTTTTGAACAGTCCTGTTGAATGCATATTAACTTATTTATAAGCCTAATGTCCTTACTTAACAGCCATAAGTGTCCATTTGAGACATTTCACCAATGTCAATTAGATAGCCTACATTGGCATGGTGGTGATTACCTCCACTACTTCCTCCTAAAGCACATAGCCTAGTAGGCTGTGGGGCACACTTTGTGGACTGTTATTATTATGGATTACTGAGCCCTATTCTACGAATCTGGTTTGAGGAGTTAGCGAGGTAACTTTGGTCAACTCTGAGTTCAACTCGGGATAACCGGTGACACGAATGTGGCTCACCTTTTAGCCAGGTACATTTCTATGGCAACGAATCCTTCAGAACTAAATCTGCTCCCGGGAAGGCTAACTCAGGGTTTACTCAATTTATCCTGAATGAAGTGTTTGAGCCTTGAGTTGAGGACCAATCAAATTCTTGTGTGTTAAAAATTGTAATATTCAAATACATTTCACACAACACATTTAGTAATGACAGGATGCATTTGAAACTTCACGTGCAGTAAAACTGCCGTATGACTTAATACAATGATTTTATCGATAGGAGTGGGGAGTCGTGGCACTCGTGCATTGCTAAGCACACCAAAGAAACTATATGCGCAAGAAAGACAGCACTTGTAATAGCCCATTTCACACCATAGCCTGCTGAATTTGCAGGTTTGTTTTTCTTTCATTTAGATTTTGGCAAAAATGAAAATGTGGCACTGACTCACCCATGGATTGATGTTTCAGTATTTTCTCAATGAAGAGTTCGGCGTTTGACTAGCTATGTGCGACATGAACGCGCAGTTACAAGCCCGGCTCGAGTAAGCGGCGGGTGAACGATCAATATCTGCCTGATCTGCCTTCGTAACATGCATGAAGCCTGAGCTGGAATGTGAAGCTAACTGAAGCTAGCTAATTTCAGAAAAGCCTGAATACATCTAGCTACATTCGTAGTATACCCCTCTGGTCTTCAGTTGATTATTGTTCAACTGATATAGATATAGAACAAACTGATATAGTAATATAGAACACACACCACTGTGAAATAAATAGAATAACACCAGTGAATGCTTCACATAACACTAAGGCCTCTACACAAATGTTAGAGAACACCAAGTCAGTCACAAAGTCAAATAACCACAAAATAACACATTGGACAACTCTCGTCACCACAAACAACAGGTCCAACAAGAATGTCCAAAATGTTTGTTCACAAAAGCGATAGTTACAACTCTGGAACACTGGTGGCGATGTTCGCAAATGCCCATCGTCTGTGTCAATCAGAGGTGGTGCCTCACCAATCGGTACACAGCGGTGTAGCAGTGATATCATTCCTTTGGTTGTAGAGGTACAAGTCTAAAGCTGTCCATGGAAGGTCAACGTTGATAGGTTATCCACCATGGTAAGTCAATCTAGAGAGAGCTTGTTCACCTAAATTAACCAAGGTATCACCATGAAGAGCAGTGAGACTGTTGATGAGACTATCATTCAGGAGGGAGTTGTCAGGAGTACAGTTTTTTGCTTATTTCCATTTCACTCCATTCTCATGTGAATCTGTATGCATGTCTGTTCCTTTTACCTCAGTCCTCTCTTTTCTACCGAGTCTCTCTCTTTTCTACCGAGTCTCTCTCTCTCTCTCTCTCTCTCTCTCTCTCTCTCTCTCTCTCTCTCTCTCTCTCTATCTCAAGCCATGTTGGTGCTCTCTCCCAGTAGCCAGTAGGTCTTCATCCTCCCTTTGCCCTTCATCTCTACGTCTCCTCTCAGCTCCAGCTGGAAACAGTTGAAGTCGTCGAGCACCGCGCGCGTGGCATCCGACACGTGGATCTTTAGGGCTGAGGGATGATAACATGACATACAGTTGAAGTCGGGAGTTTACATACACTTAGGTTGGAGTCATTACAGTTTTTCTCAATTGCTAAAACACTAAACCCTATTGTCTGAACCAAATGCTCAGTTGCCTGAACCCACTGATTGAATCAAAACCATAAGCACTTTTCACCTGTTTAGACATAACTTGCCAACACATTTTCATTGAGAGGAAGAGTTTGTGTGAGAGGAGGTCGAGGTGGTCTAGGTGGTCAGCGAAGACAAAGAACAGTAATATCTGATGAAATCAGAGCTACTGTGATTGACCATGTTCTTGTCCATGGTATGAGCATGAGGGAGGCTGGACAAAGGGTACAACCAAACATCAGTAGATTCACTGTGTCCACCATAATCCGAAGATTTAGAGAAGAGAACAGGTAATTACCTTTTTTTGACATTATAGTACAGTATGTAAATGTTGACAGCAATTACTGTATGACATACTATATACTGTACCACAGTATACTGTAAGTAAATATATGTTTCAGTACATCACTGTACCAATGTACTGTAGTATTGTAATGGAGGGTTGGTCTAACTGTTTGTAGGCCTAGTATTCCATGTATATTTTTTGTAACTCCATGTTCTCTTTTTGTAGAATTGAAAGACTGCCACATGGGGGTGGGAGGACAGGTATGTTCTCCCCACACCAAGAGACCCTAATTGTTGATATGGTCCGTGAGAACAATGCCATTAAACTGAGCGAAATTCAGCAGAAGATCATTGAGGACCATTTAAATTTTGAGGGTATCAACAGTGTCAGCCTCTCTACTGTTGATCGTGTCCTCAAGCGCAACAGACTGCGCATGAAACAGCTATACAGAGTGCCCTTTGATCGCAACTCAGACAGAGTCAAAGAGCAAAGATTCCAGTATGTACAGGTTGGCATATATCCAGACACATTCAATGTTGATTACTCTAAGTAGTGATTTACTGTAGTGGCCTAAATCACTTTTTCCGTATCACTTACAAAACAATATCTATTTCTACAGAGGGTTTTTCAACTGGATGCAATGGAAAGACCCCATCAATACATCTACATGGATGAAGCTGGGTTTAATCTCACCAAAAGGAGAAGGAGAGGCCGTAATGTGATTGGCCATCGGGCCATTGTTGGTGTTCCTGGGCAGCGTGGTGGCAATGTCACATTATGTGCTGCCATCAGCAATCATGGGGTTGTCCACCATCATGCCAACCTGGGGCCCTACAACACTCACCAGCTCCTCATTTTCCTCAATCACATGCGAGATGCTTTGTTAGGGCAGCAGGATGAGCATCCCATCTATGTTGTTGTTTGGGACAATGTGAGTTTTCACAGAGCCCTCCAGGTTAGAGAGTGGTACAATATGAACCAAGGTTTTATCAATCTTTGCCTTCCACCGTACTCCCCTTTCCTAAACCCCATTGAGGAATTCTTCTCCTCATGGCGGTGGAAGGTATATGAACGCCAACCTTATACCAGGGTAAATCTCCTGCAAGCCATGGGACTTGCCTGTGGTGACATAGGTGTGGAGGCATGCCAAGCCTGGATACGGCATGCCAGGGGTTTTTTCCCCCGTTGCCTGGCCAGACAAAATGTGGCCTGTGATGTGGATGAAGTCCTGTGGCCTGACCCAGTACAGAGACATGATGCTGTGGCTGAGTAATGCACTTATTTGTATATTTTTGTACTTTATTTTTTACATGGGCTTACTGTACACAAGTGGCAAACGCATAAGATTTCTGTTTGTTTTTACAAGTGCTACATGTAAATGCACAAGATTTCTGTTTTGTCTTTTTGTACAAGTGCTAAATGCACAGTTTTCTTTTGTTTTGCAACATGCATTTAGCCTACAGTGAACAATAAACATTTATTTCTCCAGCTTCATGTCCTGAGCATTGTGTTTTCTATTTTTCTACGTAGTGTTTAGTGACTGTTCAGTAGTGTTTTTTATTTTGATTGACTCGGGGCACGATTTGACAACATAGTTCAGTTTTGAGCACAGATTGAACTGTTTTGAGGTGAAAGTTTGGTTTTGCAAGAAGAGTCTGAGGTTTTGTGAATGTAGCTTGAAAATTGGGTTTTGTGTTCACAGTTAAGAGAAAAGGAGAGCAGCTTTCAAGAAATGTGTCTTAGCAATCGAGAAAAACTGTAAAACTCCAAAATTTCTAGTTAACAAACTATAGTTTTGGCAAGTCAGTTAGGACATCTACTTTGTGCATGACACAAGTAATTTTTCCAACAATTGTTAACAGACAGATTATTTCACATTTCACTTATAATTCACTGTATCACAATTCCAGTGGGTCAGAAGTTTACATACACTAAGTTGACTGTGCCTTTAAACAGCTTGGAAAATTCCAGAAAATGATGTCATGGCTTTAGAAGCTTCTGATAGGCTAATTGACATCATTTGAGTCAATTGGAGTTGTACCTGTGGATGTATTTCAAGGCCTACCTTCAAACTCAGTGCCTCTTTGCTTGACATCATGGGAATATCAAAAGAAATCAGCCAAGACCTCAGAAAAAAATGTGTAGACCTCCACAAGTCTGGTTCATCCTTGGGAACAATTTCCAAACGCCTGAAGGTACCACGTTCATCTGTTCAAACAATAGTACGCAAGTATAAACACCATGGGACCACGCAGCCGTCATACCGCTCAGGAAGGAGATGCATTCTGTCTCCTAGAGATGAACGTACTTTGGTGCGAAAAGTGCAAATCAATCCCAGAACAACAGCAAAGGACCTTGTGAAGATGCTGGAAGAAACAGGTACAAAAGTATCTATATCCACAGTAAAACGAGTCCTATATCGACATAACCTGAAAGGCCGCTCAGCAAGGAAGAAGCCAATGCTCCAAAACCACCTTAAAAAAGCCAGACTACAGTTTGCAACTGCACATAGGGACAAAGATCGTACTTTTTGGAGAAATGTCCTCTGGTCTGATGAAACAAAAATAGAACTGTTTGGCCATAATGACCATCGTTATGTTTGGAGGAAAAAGCGGGTGCTTGCAAGCCGAAGAACACCATCACAACCGTGAAGCACGGGGGTGGCAGCATCATGCTATGGGGGTGCTTTGCTGCAGGAGGGACTGGTGCACTTCACAAAATAGATGGCATCATGAGGAAGGAAGATTATGTGGATATATTGAAGCAACATCTCAAGACATCAGTCAGGAAGTTAAAGCTTGGTCGCAAATGGGTCTTCCAAATGGACAATGACCCCAAGCATACTTCCAAAATTGTGGAAAAATGGCTTAAGGACAACAAAGTCAAGGTATTGGAGTGGCCATCACAAAGCCCTGACCTCAATCCTATAGAAAATGTGTGGGCAGAACTTAAAAAGCGTGTGCGAGCAAGGAGGCCTACAAACCTGACTCAGTTACACCAGCTCTGTCAAGAGGAATGGGCCAAAATTCACCCAACTTATTGTGGGAAGCTTGTGGAAGGCTACCCTGAAAACGTTTGAACCAAGTTAAACAATTTAAAGGCAATACTACCAAATACTAATTGACTAATAATAATAATAATAATAATTGACTGTATGTAAACTTCTGACCCACTGGGAATGTAATGAAATAAATAAAAGCTGAAATAAATAATTCTCTCTACTATTATTCTGACATTTCACATTCTTAAAATAAAGTGGTGATCCTAACTGACCTAAGACAGGGCATTTTTACTAGGATTAAATGTCAGGAATTGTGAAAAACTGAGTTTAAATGTATTTGGCTAAGGTGTATGTAAACTTCAGACTTCAGCTGTATGTGGTCATTGAAGCCAGAGAAGGACTAGTGCATGTGTATGTTATGAGATAGTAGATAAAAGAGATGGGTCACTCTCACCCTCCCCATTGGACTCCATGCGAGAGGCTGTGTTGACTGTATCTCCAAACAGACAGAACCGAGGCATCTTCAGTCCTACAACACCAGCACACACAGGGCCTGGAGAGAACACACACACAACCTATTCCAATATTCCACATATTCCAATGATTCCACAGTGTCAGACAAGCTCAATGAAGTGCATTTGTCAGAAAACAAATACTATTTGAACTCTACAATCCCCCCCCCCCCCTCGCTGCTCACCACTGTGGATGCCACTGCGCAGACGGAGCTGCTGGGCAGGTCGGTGGCGGATTCTGAAGGAGTGTACGGCCTCCAGCAGGGCCAGCGACATGCGGGCGATCTCTCGGCCATGCAGATTGCCGTTCCTCACAGGCAGCCCAGACACCACCATGTACGCATCGCCTATCGTCTCCACCTGAGGGCGCCACAGTGTGAGAGACGGTCACACTGTCACTAGGGTTCTTAAATATGTCCTTAACCCAGTGGTAGGTAACCGTGGTACAGGTGGCCCGCAGTGTGTCCAGGTCTTTGTCATTCTAGCACTAACACACCTGATTCAACTAATCTTCAAGTACTTGATTAGCTGAATCAGTTGTATTAAACGCTTGCACTCCCTGTGTGAAAAACAAGGTTTAGACTTCACCTTGTAAACATCGAAGTTGTCGATGATGGCATCAAAACACGTGTAGAGGTCATTCAATAGGGTCACCACCTATGGTGAAACATGAAGATTATCAGCCACTGCATAAAATATGTTTCCTTTAAGTAGAATAACAGTCAATTAATTTGCCTAAAGATATGAGGCATTTGCAATAGTCAACTTCTGAAAAGTGCACATTGAACACAAGTATTCTTAAATGGAGTGCAGTTCAGCGATCCCAACTCAAATATATGATTTTAATTTGCTCCGGAAAATGGCATACTCCACTTCTCATTCATGACAGCCCAAAGCCATTGCATATCAGGAGTATTGTCAAACTGCTATTTACTACGTTAATTCAGGACTGACCTGCATGGGTGTGCTCTCTGCTGAGATGGCGGTAAAGCCCACAATGTCACTGAAGTAGATGGTGACTGAGTCAAAGGCCTCTGCCTGCACCGTCTCCCCTCTCTTCAGCTGCTCCGCTACAGAGCTATGTCACGCACAGACAGTGTTAAGCAGAGTGAGTAGGCTGTGTGTGTGTTGCGTTTGTGTGCGTGTGTGTGCAAGAGAGTGTGTGTGGTGTGTGTGTATGCATGTGTGTATGTGTGTCTGTGTATGATTCAGTCCAATCACCAAATTATGTTTGTATTTATTAGTCCTCTGCAGAGTACAGCCTTTGATGAACGTTTCTGTGTGAGGGTGTGTTTGTGTATATCATTTTTTGACTTAATTAGATATTTTTTTACACAACCCAGTACACTGACTTTACAATCATTGAGGATAACATTTAAATTAATTGAGGAAAACTAAAAAGCTACACAACTTATTCCCACTGTGGTCCTTTTAATACACTCACTGTGGAAGTATCTGGTAGAGCAGTGCCTCAGCCTTGCGTTTCTCTTCGTGGTAGGCCTGTGTTCTTTCCTCCACAAGTTCTTCCAGGTTATTGGCGTACTGCTCCATACGAGACAACAGGTTGTCCAGGATATTAGACCCATAACCTCTGTGGAGGGAGGGATGACGAGAGGGATGGGGGAGAGGAGTAATAAAGATAGTTGGTTTTTGAAGATAGTTGTCAGAGCAGTGCAAACCTGTTGTGAGTCATTGGGTAAAATAAACACAGACATGTTTGTGTGTGGAGAGTTATTTTGAATGCATGCAGATCTCTAAAGTGAGTGGATGGGTATAAGTGCATGTCTGTAGATCTGGCACCACGTAACGTGTATGGTGTTAATGGAGGTTTAAGCAGTGCGTACAGACTGTACCTGTTGTGTTTGCGCAGCAGCAGCTTGATGTGGTGGAACTCGGGCCTCTCGTTCACATCCTCGCTCCAGCAGCGCAGCATGAGCTGGCCCACCTCTTCACTGTGGCTCTGAGGGCAGAGGGAGGGCCGCAGGTAGGGCCACTGGCCCAGCGCCACGCGTTCTACGATCTCTGGTAGAGAGAAAGAGGGAGGAAGAGAGGGGGGAGAGAGAATATGTGAGAATTAAACAAAATCAAGCTGGTGGTGTATTTAATACAGGCAATCTCAATAAACAATACAAATGTGAAAAAGGTGGCCCTGGGGAAAAAAGGTTGGGAACCCATGCTTTACCTACCTGCTCTACACACATGACAACTTGACAACATACGAACCGATTGGCGTCATTTCAAGCTAGCTGTGGAGTGAGCTTACTGCACGTTCTTAACTCTAGTTCAATGTACAGTATTTCAATATGCTTCCATAAGAGCCTGACTAGGCATTTCTACAGCAACTAGGGAGCTAGCCCTTTATGACCAATGGGATCTGCTTTTGATCCTACATACTTAGGGGAATGTCAAGGAATCCTGAGGATATTTTCCTATGCAGGAGATGTATGTTTCCCTGGAGAATAAGGTGGATGGCAGCAATTTAGAATGTGTAAGGATGTGTACTTATACATTGTGTGTGTGTGTGTGTGTGTGTCTGTGTGTGTGGTGAAAGATATATGGTGACAGAGAGTCGGCACCTTAGAGATATCACAGACCCAGGGCTGACAGGACTGGAATGTAAAAGGAAAGATGGAAGGAGAAGACTGATAAAAAAAAACACCTGAGGGGGAGGGAGAGAGAGGGAGAGAAAAGGGGGGGGGAGAGAGAGAGAGAAAGACAGAAATTAAGTAAGAAAGATAGAAAAAAGAGAAGGAAAGAGACAGAGAGTACCCTAAGATTTTCTATATTTTCCGTTTAAAAAAAGTAATGTATTACAACTCTGGGTTATCACTATTGGGGCGGGCACATTATTAGTATACTAGTAATTATAGGTATTACTAGACCTGCATGAACAAACACATACACACATGTTCATAGTACTTTCCGAGAGAGAGAGAGAGAGAGAGAGAGAGAGAGAGAGAGAGAGAGAGAGAGAGAGAGAGAGAGAGAGAGAGAGAGAGAGAGAGAGAGAGAGAGAGAGAGAGAGAGAGAGCGACAGGAGGAAGGAGGGATGAGAAACACTTCTCAGAATCTACTTGGATTCAGTGCCATGCCTCTCGGAGAACACAAATAACAAATGACAAATGTGTAAACCAAAAAATGTGTTGTACATTTTCCCTCTCCAAGATGCCTTTCAAAAAGATTTGTGTTCTACACAGAAGGTAATATAGTCCAGGTCTCTCTTGAATAATTTGTTTTATCTCAATGAGACTAAAATGATGGTATTAAAATAAATATATATTGTGCAATTAAATGCTTTGTCTTTCCCAAAAATAATCAAAATAAAAGTTGCCAACCTCATCCGTTTTTTCTTCTCATTGCTTCAAGTGTCCATCCATATTTGTCTGTGCTTCAATCTTTAACTCTAACCCTATTTACCTTGATATGTATTCTATAATAATTACAGTGCCTTCAGAAAGTATCCATACCCCTTGACTTATTCCACATTTTGTTGTGTTACAGCCTGAATTCAAAATTGATTAAATAGATTTTTTCCCCTCACCCATCTACAATCAATACCCTATAATGACAAAGTGAAAACATGTTTCTAGAAATGTTTGCAAATGTATTGAAAATGAAATACAGAAATATCTCATTTACATACGTTTTCACACACCTGAGTCAATACTTTGTAGAAGCTCCTTTGGCAGCGATTACAGCTGTGAGTCTTTCTGGGTAAGTCTCTGAGAGCTTTCCACACCTGGATTGTGCAACATTTGCCCACTAGTCTTTTCAGAATTCTTCAAGCTCTGTCAAATTGGTTGTGTCTTGCCATAGATTTTCAAATAGATTGAAGTCAAAACTGCAACTTGGCCACTTAGAAACATTTCCTGTCTTCTTGGTAAGCAACTCCAGTGTAGATTTGGCCTTGTGTTGTAGGTTATTGTCCTGCTATAAGGTGAATGAATTTCCCAGTATCTGGTGGAAAGCAGACTGAACCAGGTTTTCCTCTACGATTTTGCCTGTGCTTAACTCCATTTCATTTATTTTAAATCCTGAAAAACTCCCCAGTCCATAACAATTACAAGCATACCCATAACATGATACAGCCACCACTATGCTTGAAAATATGGAGAGTGGTACTCAGTAATGTGTTGTATTGGATTTGCCCCAAACATAACACTTTATATTCAGGACAAAAAGTGAATTGCTTTGCCACATTTTGCAGTATAACTTTAGTGCCTTGTTGCAAACAGGATGCATATTTTGGAATATTTTTTCTCTCTACAGGCTTCCTTCTTTTCACTCGCTTAATTAGGTTAGCATTGTGGAGCAAGTGCAATGTTGTTGATCCATCCTCAGCTATCTCTTAATACAGCCATTAAACTCAACGCTTTTTAATTTTTTTTACCCATCTACCAATTGGTGCCATTCTTTGCGAGGCATTTCAAATTCACTGCTCGACTGAGGGACCTTAAAGATAATTGTATGTGTAGGGTACAGAGACGAGGTAGTCATTCAACAATCATGTTAAATACTATTATTGCATGCAACTTATTATGTGACTTGTTAAGAATATGTTTACTCCTGAACTTATTTAGGCTTGCCATAACAATGGGGTGGGACTCAAGACATTTCATCTTTTCATTTTTAATTAATTGGTAAAAATTTCGAAAGACTTTGACATTATGGGGTATTGTGTGTAGGCCAGCGACAAAATCTCAATCTCAATTTAATCCATTTTAAATTCAGGCTGTAACACAACAAAATGTGGAAAAAGTCAAGGGGTGTGAATACTTTCTGAATGCACTGTACTTGCCTGAAAAACACGCACAGACACACACACACACCTTTGGGGCTAAGGGTGTCCCCCTCGACGTGGAAGACCCCTCGGAGCAGGGCCAGCTCCTGCAGGATAATGCCGAAACTGTAGATGTCCCCTTTCTGAGTGCCACATGGCGGGGGACTATCTGCCCTCAGCAGCTCTGGAGCTGCCCATAATTTCCCTATAGAGGGAGAGGGAGTGAAAGGGGATGGGAAAGAAAGAAAGAGGGAGGTAGAGGTGGAAACCTTTATTTTAACAGAGAAGACATATTGAGACCTAGGTCTCGTTTTCGAATGTGCCCTGTATAATACAACATAAATATACACATTATACACTATATATATACACAGTTCATTCGGAAAGTATTCAGACCCCTTGACATTTTCCACATTTTGTTACGTTACAGTCTTATTTTAAATTGTTTTTTCCCCTCATCAATCTACACACAATACCCCATAATGACAAAGCAAAAACAGGTTTTTAGAAGTGTTTTCAAATGTATAAAAATAAAAAACTGAAATATCACATTTACATAAGTATTCAGACCCTTTACTCAGTACTTTGTTGAAGCCTTGAGTCTTCTTGATTATGACGCTACAAGCTTGGCACACCTGTATTTGGGGAGTTTCTCCCATTCTTCTCTGCAGATCCTCTCAAGCTCTGTCAGGATGGATGGGGAGCGTCGCTGTACAGCTATTTTCAGGTCTCTCCAGACATGTTCGATCGGGTTCAAGTCCGGGCTCTGGCTGGGCCACTCAGGGACATTCAGAGACTTGTCCAGAAGCCACTCCTGCGTTGTCCTTAGGGTCACAGCCCCAGTCCTTAGGGACACGCCCCCGTCTGAGTCCCTGAGCGCTCTGGGCAGGTGTCCATCAAGGACCTCTCTGTACTTTGCTCCGTTCATCTTTCCCTCGATCCTGACTAGTCTCCCAGTCCCTGCCGCTAAAAAACAACCCCACAGCATGATGCTGCCACCACCATGCTTCACCGTAGGGATGGTGCCAGGTTTCCTCCAGACGTGACGCTTGGCATTCAGGCCAAAGAGTTCAATCTTGGTTTCATCAGACCAGAGAATCTCGTTTCTCATGGTCTGAGAGTCCTTTAGGTGCCTTTTGGCAAACTCCAAGCGGGCTGTCATGTGCCTTTTACTGAGGAGTGGCTTCCGTCTCGCCACTCTAGCATAAAGGCCTGATTGGTGGAGTGCTGCAGAGATGGTTGTCCTTCTGGAATGTTCTCCCATCTCCACAGATGAACTCTGGAGCTCTGTTAGAGTGACCATCGGGTTCATGGTCACCCCTCTGACCAAGACCCTTCTCCCCCGATTGCTCAGTTTGGCCGGGCGGCCAGGTCTATGAAGAGTCATGGTGGTTCCAAACTTCTTCCATTTAAGAATGATGGAGGCCACTGTGTTCTTGGGGACCTTCAATGCTGCAGAAATGTTTTGGTACCGTTCTCCAGATCTGTGCCTCGACACAATCCTGTCTCGGGGCTCTACGGACAATTCCTTCGATCTCATGGCTTAGATTTTGCTCTGACATGCACTGTCAACTGTGGGACCTTATATAGACAGGCGTGTGCCTTTCCAAATCATGTCCAATCAATTGAATTTACCACAGATGGACTCCAATCAAGTTGTAGAAACAAGATGATCAATGGAAACAGGATGCACCTGAGCTCAATTTCGAGTCTCGTAGCAAAGGGTCTGAATACTTATGTAAATAAGGTATTTCTGTTTTTTATTTTTAATACATTTGCAAAAAATTCTAAAAAGTTGTTTTTGCTTGGCCATTATGGGGTATTGTGTGTAGATTGATGAGGAAAACAATTAAATTAATCAATTTTAGAATAAGGCTGTAACGTAACAATATGTGGAAAAAAGGAAGGGGGCTGAATACTTTCTGAATGCACTGTGTGTATATGTACAGTACCAGTCAAAAGTTTGGACACACCTACTCATTCATATTTTTACTATTTTTTACATTGTAGAATAATAGTGAAGACATCAAAACTATGAAATAACACATATGGAATAATAACCAAAAAAGTGTTAAACAAATCAAAATATATTTTATATTTGAGATTCTTCAAATGGCCACCCTTTGCCTTGATGACAGCTTTGCACACTCTTGGCATTCCCTCAACCAGCTTCATGAGGTAGTCACCTGGAATGCATTTCAATTAACAGGTGTGCCTTAAAAGTTAATTTTTGGAATTTCTTTCATTCTTAATGCTTTTGAGTGAATCAGTTGCGTTGTGACAAGGTAGGGGTGGTATACAGAAGATAGCCCTGTTTGGTAAAAGTCCATATTATGGCAAGAACAGCTCAAATAAGCAAAGAGAAACGACAGTCCATTACTTTAAGACATGAAGGTCAGTCAATACGGAAAATGTAAAGAACTTTGAACGTTTCTTCAAGTGCAGTCGCAAAAACCATCAAGCGCTATGATGATACTGGCTCTCATGAGGACCGCGACAGAAATGAAAGACCCAGAGTTACCTCTGCTGCAGAGGATAAGTTCATTAGAGTTACCAGCCTCAGAAATCGCAGCCCAAATAAATGCTTCACAGAGTTCAAGTAACAGACACATCTCAACATCAACTGTTCAGAGGGGACTGTGTGAATCAGGCCTTCATGGTCGAATTGCTGCCAAGAAACCACTACTAAAGGACACCAATAAGAAGAAGAGACCTGCTTGGGCCAAGAAACACGAGCAATGGACATTAGACCGGTGGAAATGTGTCCTTTGGTCTGGAGTCCAAATTTGAGATTTTTGGTTCCAACCGCCGTGTCTTTGAGAGACGTGGTGTGGGTGAACAGATGATCTCTGCATGTGTATTTCCCACCGTAAAGCATGGAGGAGGAGGTGTTATGGTGTGGGGGTGCTTTGCTGGTGTCACTGTCTGTGATTTATTTAAAATTCAAGGCACACTTAACCAGCATGGTTACCACAGCATTCTGCTGCGATACGCCATCCCATCTGTTTTGGGCTTAGTGGGGCTATCATTTGTTTTTCAATAGGACAATGACCCAACACACCTCCAGGCTGTGTAAAGGCTATCTTAACAAGAAGGAGAGTGATGGAGTGCTGCATCAGATGACCTGGCCTCCACAATCCCCCGACCTCAACCCAATTGAGATGGTTTGGGATGAGTCGGACGGCAGAGTGAAGGAAAAGCAGCCAACAAGTGCTACGCATACAGTGAGGGAAAAAAGTATTTGATCCCCTGCTGATTTTGTACATTTGTCCACTGACAAAGACATGATCAGTCTATAATTTAAATGGTAGGTTTATTTAAACAGTGAGAGACAGAATAACAACAACAAAATCCAGAAAAACGCATGTAAAAAATGTTATAAATTGATTTGCATTTTAATGAGGGAAATAAGTATTTGACCCCTCTGCAAAACATGACTTAGTACTTGGTGGCAAAACCCTTGTTGGCAATCACAGAGGTCAGACGTTTCTTGTAGTTGGCCACCAGGTTTGCACACATCTCAGTAGGGATTTTGTCCCACTCCTCTTTGCAGATCTTCTCCAAGTCATTAAGGTTTCGAGGCTGACGTTTGGCAACTCGAACCTTCAGCTCCCTCCACAGATTTTCTATGGGATTAAGGTCTGGAGACTGGCTAGGCCACTCCAGGACCTTAATGTGCTTCTTGTTGAGCCACTCCTTTGTTGCCTTGGCCGTGTGTTTTGGGTCATTGTCATGCTGGAATACCCATCCACGACCCATTTTCAATGCCATGGCTGATGGAAGGAGGTTCTCACCCAAGATTTGACGGTACATTGCCCCGTCCATCATCCCTTTGATGCAGTGAAGTTGTCCTGTCCTCTTAGCAGAAAAACACCCCCAAAGCATAATGTTTCCACCTCCATGTTTGACGGTGGGGATGGTGTTCTTGGGGTCATAGGCAGCATTCCTCCTCCTCCAAACACGGCGAGTTGAGTTGATGCCAAAGAGCTCCATTTTGGTCTCATCTGACCACAACACTTTCACCCAGTTCTCCTCTGAATCATTCAGATGTTCATTGGCAAACTTCAGACGGGCCTGTATATGTGCTTTCTTGAGCAGGGGGACCTTGCAGGCGCTGCAGGATTTCAGTCCTTCACGGCGTAGTGTGTTACCAATTGTTTTCTTGGTGACTATGGTCCCAGCTGCCTTGAGATCATTGACAAGATCCTCCCGTGTAGTTCTGGGCTGATTCCTCACCGTTCTCATGATCATTGCAACTCCACGAGGTGAGATCTTGCATGGAGCCCCAGGCCCATTTGCGAATAATCGCACCAACTGTTGTCACCTTCTCACCAAGCTGCTTGGCGATGGTCTTGTAGCCCATTCCAGCCTTGTGTAGGTCTACAATCTTGTCCCTGACATCCTTGGAGAGCTCTTTGGTCTTGGCCATGGTGGAGAGTTTGGAATCTGATTGATTGATTGCTTCTGTGGATAGGTGTCTTTTATACAGGTAACAAGCTGAGATTAGGACCACTCCCTTTAAGAGTGTGCTCCTAATCTCAGCTCGTTACCTGTATAAAATACACCTGGGAGCCAGAAATCTTTCTGATTGAGAGGGGGTCAAATACTTATTTCCCTCATTAAAATGCGAATCAATTTATACCATTTTTTACATGCGTTTTTCTGGATTTTTTTGTTGTTATTCTGTCTCTCACTGTTCAAATAAACCTACCATTAAAATTATAGACTGATCATTTTTTTGTCAGTGGGCAAACGTACAAAATCAGCACGGGATCAAATACTTTTTTCCCTCACTGTATGTGGGAACTCCTTCAAGACTGTTGGAAAAGCATTCCAGGTGAAGTTGGTTGAGAGAATGCCAAGAGTGTGCAAAGCTGTCATCAAGGCAAAGGGTAGCTATTTGAAGAATCTCAAATATAAAACATATTTTTTATTTGTTTAACACTTTTTTGGTTACTACATGATTCCATATGTGTTATTTAATAGTTTTGATGTCTTCACTATTATTCTACAATGTAGAAAAAGGTAAAAATAAAGAAAAACCCTTGACTGAGTAGTTGTGTCCAAACGTTTGACTGGTACTGTATATACAGTTAAAGTCGGACGTTTACATACACCTTAGCCAAATACATTTAAACTCATTTTTTCACAATTCTTGACATTTAATCCTAGTAAAAATTCCCTGTCTTAGGTCAGTTAGGATCACCACTTTATTTTAAGAATGTGAAATGTCAGAATAATAGTAGAGAGAATGATTTATTTAAGCTTTTATTTCTTTCATCACATTCCCAGTGGGTCAGAAGTTTACATACAGTCAATTAGTATTTGGTAGCATTGCCTTTAAATTGTTTAACTTGGGTCAAACGTTTCAGGTAGCCTTCCACAAGCTTCCCACAATAAGTTGGGGGAATTTTGGCCCATTGCTTCTGACAGAGCTGGTGTAACTGAGTCAGGTTTGTGGGCCTCCTTGCTCGCACACACTTTTTCAGTTCTGCCCACATATTTTTCGATAGGATTGAGGTCAGGGCTTTGTGATGGCCACTCCAATACCTTGACTTTGTTGTCCTTAAGCCATTTTGCCACAACTTTGGAAGTATGCTTCGGGTCATTGTCCATTTGTTAGACCCATTTGCGACCAAGCTTTAACTTTGTGACTGATGTCTTGAGATGTTGCTTCAATATATCCACATACATTTCCTTCGTCATGATGCCATCTATTTTGTGAAGTGCACCAGTCCCTCCTGCAGCAAAGCACCCCCACAGCATGATGCTGCCACCCCCGTGCTTCACGGTTGGGATGGTGTTCTTCGGATTGCAAGCAACCTCCTTTTTCCTCCAAACATAACGATGGTCATTATGGCCAAACAGTTCTATTTTTGTTTCATCAGACCAGAGGACATTTCTCCATAAAGTAAGATCTTTGTCCCCATGTGCAGTTGCAAACTGTAGTCTGGCTTTTTTATGGCGGTTTTGGAGTAGTGGCTTCTTCGTTGCTGAGTGGCCTTTCAGGTTATGTCGATATAGGACGTGTTTTACTGTGGATATAGATACTTTTGTACCTGTTTCCTCCAGCATCTTCACAAGGTCCTTTGCTGTTGTTCTGGGATTGATTTGCACTTTTTGCACCAAAGTACGTTCATCTCTAGGAGACAGAATGCGTCTCCTTCCTGAGCGGTATGACGGCTGCGTGGTCCCATGGTGTTTATACTTGCGTACTATTATATGTACAGATGAACGTGGTACCTTCAGGCGTTTGGAAATTGCTCCCAAGGATGAACCAGACTTGTGGAGGTCTACAACTTGGCTGATTTCTTTTGATTTTCCCATGATGTCAAGCAAAGAGGCACTGCGTTTGAAGGTAGGCCTTGAAATACATCCACAGGTATACCTCCAATTGACTCAAATGATGTCAATTAGCCTTTCAGAAGCTTCTAAAGCCATGACATCATTTTCTGGAATTTTCCAAGCTGTTTAAAGGCACAGTCAACTTAGTGTATGTAAACTTCTGACCCACTGGAATTGTGATACAGTGAAAATTACTTGTGTCATGCACAAAGTAGATGTCCTAACCGATTTGCCAAATCTATAGTTTGTTAACAAGAAATTTGTGGAGTGGTTGAAAAACGAGTTTTAATGACTCCAACCTAAGTGTATGTAAACTTCCGACTTCATCTGTATATACATACACATTATACACAACATAAGAATAACAGGTAATTTCAAGATTTCTTTAGCCAAAGATGTACTTAGAGAGAAAGAGCCAGATTTACTGAGAGTTTTAATACCCACCATCTCAATCAGCAACTAATCAATACTTTTTCAGCCAGGTGATTTGACCGTTGAGCCACATCAATGACAAGTAATTAAATGGAGCCAGCAAGGTCTTTCTCAGGAGGGGACATTGTTACAGAACGCTTAGACAGCAGTTTATTGTGTAAAACAGACGTACCAGCCAATTGTATGGGAAAGTGGGCATGTTTAGTTTTTGAATAACAACAACAATGGCAGGGATCGTGCCACTCAATCACTTGGTTTGAGTTATTTAGAGTGTGTGTGTGTGTTTGTTTGCTCATGCGTTCGAGTCTTTGTCTACATGTGAGTGTGTTTCTGCAGCTCAGCTAACTCACGGGCATAGTAGGCGTGTGTGTCCTCCATATTGGACTTTTCGCGAAAGCTGGCCAGCCCGTAGTCAGTGATCTTCAGAACAAAGCGACTGTCCACCACGCAGTTAGATGACTTCAGATTACCATGGGAGACAATGACACTGTTGTGAAGGAAGGCCATCCCCTAGAATCAAAGATGGTGTGATTCACAAGATATCCAACCAGTGGGCGACCCTGTGTAAAATGTTTCCTGCACAGGTCCATGCAGAGGGGCGGGAACTGTCACATGCTTTTGCCAACGAAATTGCATTTGCTGAACAACCTATGCATTACAAGTCAATAACCAAACAATGTGTACCCTCCCATTAACTTCCATTGAAAATAGGCAGAACTTCCTCTGCAAAGCCAGAAAAGAAAGTACAGAGCTAGCCTTCTCACAACAGCTATTTCTGCTAGAATGTACATTGAGAGGCATTAAATCGAGTCTAACTCAAGTAAAATGCATGACTTCTTCATTCATCCTTCTAACCAGGACACAGCCTGGAAAATCCCAACTCCTGCTGCAGGCAATATACCTAACAGATTGGTTGGATCTGGTTTAATCCCAAACATCTTGTTGAAAATATATGACACAAATCTAGTGTAAGAGCATGCAATAAAGTGTAAGTGAGAAGTAACACACTTGGCATAACGACAATATGGACAATACAAAAACCTGTAGAGGTATGACAGAATAAATATTATTTGAATATTTTCTACCTCTCCCCTAGCCCCAATACTGTGAAAACAACATTAAGTACCAGTTTAGTGGTCTGGGGACTTCAGCACATATATATTATGCTTGTTGGTTCGAATCCTGGACCCATCGCTACTTTGTCACAAACCCCCTCCTCACTTTCCTCCTTCTATACTGTCCTATATCTGAGTTTAAAATCTCTGGATGGAGGATGAAGGATGGAGACGCACCTTAACAATGTCGTTGATGAGAGAGTATCTGAACATCCAGTCTAAGGTGATGCTCTCGCTCTCCATAAGATCCTGCACAACACATGAACATAAACATGACTATTTAAACACACACACACACACACACTCTAATATTCAGACCATATTCCATGTTTCAAATCAGCCATACATGAAGGTCACCCACACGTTAATCCCAGGCCACAATGCTAACATCATAATTTTAATTTTAATTTAAATTTAATAATTTAAATTTTAGTCATTTAGCAGACGCTCTTATCCAGAGCGACTTACATGAGCAATTAGGGTTAAGTGCCTTGCTCAAGGGCACATCGACAGATTTTTCACCTAGTCGGCTCGGGGATTAGAACCAGCGACCTTTCGGTTACTGGCACAACTCTCTTACCCACTAAGCCACCTGCCGCCCATCATAATATGCATGACATGTCATATTCCATTCACACAGGCTGTCGGTATTCAACACATGTAGCCTAGAGGGTAAACCAACCATCTCAAGACCCAAGGGTAGCTCCTGTAAGCTAGATGGTTCATTACTTATTCAATGTGTGAATGTGTGGTGTGGGAGTTAAGAGACCAAAAGGGGTTTTAGTTAACAATGCTAAGGTTATAAGGTTATAGAATGGAATAGAATAGAATGGAACAATGAGAGTCAATAGGTTGTGAAGTACCTGCAGGCTGCCCCGGGGACAGTACTCTGTGATGATACAGATGTTGGGAGGATCGATACAGGCTCCGATAAAGCGAGTCAGGTGCTCGTTTTGAACATCACGCATCTGGAGGCAAGAAAATCAACATACATAATCACCAACATACTTAGTTACAAAATAATTAACACCTGAGCGAAGTATACACCTTAGAACATAATAAGTACAGGAAATAGTAGAAAGGACATTGTAGCCCTGGCAACATGTTTACAGGCTACTGAATAAAACACTCACATGTTTGAGCTCAAAGAGAACCATCCTGGTGAGCTCAATGCGCTTCTTGTTAGTGACGTACTTAATGGCCGCAATGTTTCCCTGGAAAGGAGGACACATTAACACAATATTTCACCATGATTGTACTATATGTGTCCTTCAATAATATCGGCTGATCTGTTTATTTTAAAGTACTGTAAAATTAGTGCAATCCACTTGCAATTCCTACTCCAAGGATGTAAACAATGGAACTGCCCACATTAACCCTATCAGAATCCTGGTACGAACACTTATCATTGGCAAATATTGGGTCTCACTTTAAACAAAGTAAAACTTATAAAGGCTTTATATAGCATATGTAAAGGCTTCATAAGCACTACATAAATGCTTCACAAATAATCTGTAAGCATATGTCTTACACTATAAATTGTTTATAAAGGGTGACATAACCATTCCCACTGTAGGGCGAATTGCCAAATGTGACATAACACACTATGTATACACCATTTTTAGCAGGGGTTCTCAAAGTGGGGTCCAGTTACTGCAGGGGGTCTGCGGCCCAGTTTTTTTGAATGAATATTATTAACAACAACAAATTAAACTACTTTTGGCAAAGGGATCCGTATAATACGTTTAGAGGGTGTCCTACAATACAATACAGTCGTGGTCAAAAGTTTTGAGAATGACACAAGTATTGGTCTTCACAAAGTTCGCTGCTTCAGTGTTATGAAATATTTTTGTCAGATGTTACTATGGTATACTGAAGTATAATTACAAGCATTCCATAAGTGTCAAAGGCTTTTATTGACAATTACATTACGTTTATGCAAAGAGTCAATATTTGCAGTGTTGACCCTTCTTTTTCAAGACCTCTGCAATCCGCCCTGGCATGCTGTCAATTAACTTCTGGGCCACATCCTGACTGATGGCAGCCCATTCTTGCATAATCAATGCTTGGAGTTTGTCAGAATTTGTGGGTTTTTGTTTGTCCCCTCGCCTCTTGAGGATCGACCACAAGTTCTCAATGGGATTAAGGTCTGGGGAGTTTCCTGGCCATGGACGCAAAATGTCAATGTTTAGTTCCCCGAGCCACTTAGTTATCACTTTTGCCTTATGGCAAGGTGCTCCATCATGCTGGAAAAGGCATTGGTCGTCACCAAACTGTTCTTGGATGGTTGGGAGAAGTTGCTCTCGGAGGATGTGTTAGTACCATTCTTTATTCATGGCTGTGTTCTTAGGCTAAAATGTGAGTGAGCCCACTCCCTTGGCTGAGAAGCAACCCTACACATGAATGGTCTCAGGATGCTTTACTGTTGGCATGACACAGGACTGATGGTAGCGCTCACCTTGTCTTCTCCGGACAAGGTGTTTTCTGGATGCCCCAAACAATCGGAAAGGGGATTCATCAGAGAAAAGACTTTACCCCAGTCCTCAGCAGTCCAATCCCTGTACCTTTTGCAGAATATCAGTCTGTCCCTGATGTTTTTCCTGGAGAGAAGTGGCTTCTTTGCTGCCCTTCTTGACACCAGGCCATCCTCCAAAAGTATTCGCCTCACTGTGCGTGCAGATGCACTCACACCTGCCTGCTACCATTCCTGAGCAAGCTCTGCACTGGTGGTGCCCCGATCCCGCAACTGAATCAACTTTAGGTGACAGTCCTGGCGTTTGCTGGACTTTCTTGGGCGCCCTGATGCCTTCTTCACAACAATTGAACCTCTCTCCTTGAAGTTCTTGATGATCCGATAAATGGTTGATTTAGGTGCAATCTTACTAGCAGCAATATCCTTGCCTGTGAAGCCCTTTTTGTGCAAAGCAATGATGACGGCACGTGTTTCCTTGCAGGTAACCATGGTTAACAGAGGAAGAACAATGATTTCAAGCACCACCCTCGTTTTAAAGCTTCCAGTCTGTTATTCTAACTCAATCAGCATGACAGAGTGATCTCCAGCCTTGTCCTCGTCAACACTCTCACCTGTGTTAACGAGAGAATCACTGACATGATGGCAGCTGGTCCTTTTGTGGCAGGGCTGAAATGCAGTGGAAATGTATTTTTGGGATTAGGGACTTTTTCATGGCAAAGAGGGACTTTGCAATTAATTGCAATTCATCTGATCACTCTTCATGACATTCTGGAGTATATGCAAATTGCCATCATCAAAACTGAGGCAGCAGACTTAGTGAAAATTAGTATTTGTGTCATTCTCAAAACTTTTGACCACGACTGTACAATATAATATTATTAATCTACAACTTATGTTCTTAACCCTGGGCAACATGGGCCTGGGAGGCTCACAGGGTTATTGGTGATCACAATACTCCACCAATTATACATTTTCCAACTCAATACATCTTGTATTCCCCAAAAATGTTTTTTAAAACATGAATGCACTGTAATTTAAGCTTTAAAATTGTAACGTTTTCTCTCTGCCTCATGACAAAATATGTGGAAATGCAGGATATTAGCTTTAAAGCTGCAACAACAAAACATATCTCTGCCCCATGACAAAATGTGTAGAATTGCAGGAAATTAGCTTGAAAACTATCAAAAAAGTAAATATCATAAGCATTGTAAAAGAACAGACCTTGTAATAGCCAGTCTTCGCGTAGATCTGGAAGTTTCCTTCCATGGTCAGGAGGGAGCCATAGTTCGAGCCTCTCTGTGGACCATATAGAGAGGGAATGAGAACTTGTCAGCGTGCATATCTGTGCTTTTTCAACACACATGGTTTCTATGTGTGAGTGTGTGTAGGTGTGTGTAGGTGTGTGTAGGTGTACTCTATTTCATGTGTCTATTTATGTGTGTGTTTCTCTATGCAGTACCAGAGACAGGGTGAGTCTGCTGCATGCCCTGCGTAGCACTTTCTCCAGGTTGCTCATCTGCACGTCCTCCCATTGCACTCGCCAGAGCTGAGCAGCCAACTCATTCTCCAATTTCAGCTTCCTGAGGGAGAGAGTGGGGGGGTGGTGAGAGAGGGTCAGAGATAGAATGAAAGAAAGAGAGAGAGAGAGAGTTAGGAGAGGGTAGAGAAAGGAGCGCAGCCTCTGTTGTGTGAGGGCGACGGAGAAAGAGAAATCAATGAAGAGAAAGAGAGAGAATGACAATCCAGAATAAAGGACAGAGAGATTAAGGAGAGGGATGGATGTGTTTCAGTGTGAGTGTACACTGTGTAGGACTGCACCTTTACCCACAGCCCATCAACACTCCAAAATCTGAGTTGTACCCCTGTCACCCCACCCTCTACAAAATACAAACTGTATTCACACACACATTTCTCAGAAACACGTGCAACCCAACTATAGTATTGGGGATGGGATTAATTCATTGAGTATGGATAGAGATTAATATCTGTCATTGAGTGTCGCCCCTCAATTTGTGATTGCAACTTAATTGAGTGATTAATCACTCCAGAGAACGCGTTTCCACTGCTCCAGAGTCCAATGGCGGCAATTTACCCCACTCCAGTTTTGATGTGTACCTTGATATCACAGGTGGCTGGTGGCACCTTAATTGGGGAGTACAGGCTCATAGTAATGGCTGGAACTGAATAAATGGAATGGTATCAAACACATCACATACATGGTTTCCATGTGCTCAATACCATTCCATTTAGTCCATTCCAGCCATTATTATGAGCCGTCCTTCCCTCATCAGCCTCCTGTGCTTGATATAACATTCTTTACTGTAATAGAACTTACGTAAGAAAAGGCCACTATTCCTGTGTAATAATAACACATTTATGTTGTTGTTTTTTTAATCTATGAACATACAAACACATACAGTAGCTTCAATTTACTTTAAGCTATACATTTACAGACACACTTCACATAGACTAAGTCATCCATAGATTAAGAAATTAATATAGTAAGCACTTATCATACAAGAATATGAAAATGAACATTAATAAATGTATCCACCTATGGCTATGTGCTATTCAAATGTACTGCACATTGCTGTACCTATAACATGAAAAAAAGTGCCAAAAGGGTCTGTGTAATTTTACAGCACATCACAACTGTTAAAGGGATGCTTTGGGATTTTGGCAATGAGGCCCTTTATCTACTTCCCCAGAGTCAGATTAACTCATGGATAAAAAATATATGTCTCTGTGTCCAGTAAGAAGGAAGTTTGAGGTAGTTTTGCGAGCCAATGCTAACTAGCGTTAGCACAATGACTGGAAGACTATGGGTATCTGCTAGCATGCTAGCAGATACCTATAGACTTACAGTCATTGCGCTAATGCTAGTTAGCAATTGCACTAGCGCTACTTAGCAATTGCGCTGGCGCTAGTTAGCAACTTCCTTCAAAATGAACGCAGAGACATAAAAATTGTCTCCACATGTTCATCTGACTCTGGGGAAGTAGATAAAGGGCCTCATTGCTAAAATCCCGAAGTAACCATTTAATAAAATGTGAAATGTCGGAAATATCAGACAGGATAGCTTATATCAAACACAAAGTGACCATAATTATTGGCTAGAATATGGAACTGAACTTAAACTGTTTCACATTTCACCTATCAAAGTTAACTTAACTCTCAAGAAAATGTAAAAACATATTGCTTTTCTATATTTGATACGAGACATAATATACTTTATTATTATTTTAGGCCTGATATTCCTCAAGGGACATTTTTTTTTTTTAAGTACAGTATACTTTCACCTGGACTTGCACTCAATGTTCAACCTTTCATCAGAAGACATGACAAGTCTGATGGAGCTGGATACAGGACAGAGAGAAGGATCAAAGGGCAAACACGGGGCTGGAGGTGAGTCATCACTGGGCCATGTTCATTAGTGCACACAACGGTAAATATATTAAAATGCTTTGCAACGGAAAACGAAAATGAATGTTTCTTATTAAACAACCCCAGGTAGTCCATCCCTGTTTCAGTGTGTTTATTTCTGTTTGGTGCCTAATGAACATGACCCTGGTGGTGAGTCATCACTGAAGAGGAGACAGAAACACTTTTATTAGTTCCTTCTTGGCCTGATCTCCCTGTAATGTGTAAAGAAAGAGTGAGGGAAAAGAGGAGAGTAATAGGGTGAAGAGAGAGACAGACAGAGTAACAATGTGGGTAAGAAAGTTTAACAGGGAGAAAAAATGGTAGAAAAAAGAAGAAAAGCAAACAGAAGAGAAAGAGATGGGAGGGGGGAATAAAATAGAGAAAATGAAAGAAGAGCAGAGTATGGGAAGAGAGTGAACAGAATGGAGAGAGCGATAGAGGATGGGTGGAGGAGGGGTCGGGAGTGGAAAGGTGTCATCAGAACCAATACCATCGACCAGAGTCTTCCTCAAGGAAGGGGGACGGTAAAGAAGGGGGCACCACTGACCTGTAGATGAAGACGGTGACGGTGACGATGATGACGAAGATGAAGCAAGCCACGATGGCCACCATCTGGAGCATAGTAACTGTCCCTGGGAGGAAAGGAAAATCAAAGTTATTGAAGTTATGTGAAGTTATACCAAGGGCCAAATTCAATAGCATGTGAAGCCTATGCCATAAAATGATATATGTATTACATTTAGATGTTAGTTATTTAACAGGCATTGTTATCCAGAGCCACTTCTAGTCAGTGCATTCAACTAAGGTAGGGAAAAAGAACCAAACAATAGAAGTTGCTAAAACAACAACAGGTTGGTTTGATTTGGAAATATGCATTTTGTCTGCACATTTTGTTTAGGCAGTGTACTGAAGTGTTGGTTTCCCACAGTGTATGTTTGATTGGATTCCATAAATATTAATTTAACTTCACGTCTAGAAAAACACCTAAATCATGACACAGCGGGAAACCTAATCTCTTGCTGTTCTAATCTTACTAGTGAAGCAGCTGCCAAATACAAATGAATAACAAATGTCACCATGCATGATAATGAGGCTGTTATGATAATGAGATTGTCATGATAATGAGACCGTTATGATAATGAGACTCTTATGTAAATTAGACTTTCAGACATTTCTGTAGATATTCACAAAGAACATTTACTGAATGAGAACAATCCTATAGATAATGCTAGCTTCCAATAATCAAAACCTAAGGGTCAAATCCTAACTTGATATGTCTATGTGTACAGTAACATCATGCAAATAATGCAATGTGGTCAATTGGGAATTTGAGTTACACTATATATACAAAAGTATGTGGACACCCCTTCAAATTAGTGGATTCAGCTATTTCAGCCACACCCATTGCTGACAGGTGTATAAAATTGAGCACACCACCATGCAATCTCCATAGACAAACATTGGCAGTAGAATGGCTTTACTGAAGAGCTCAGTGACTTTCAACGTGGCTCCGTCATAGGATGCCACCTTTCCAACAAGTCAGTTCATCAAATTTCTACCCTGCTAGAGCTGCCCTGGTCAACTGTAATTGCTGTTATTGTGAAGTTGAAAAGCCTAGAAGCAACAACGGCTCAGCCACAAAGTTGTAGGCCACACAGAATGGGACTGCTGAAGCGCGTAGCGCATAAAAATCGCCTGTCCTCGGTTGCAACACTCACTACCGAATTCCAAACTGCCTCTGGAAGCAACGTCAGCACAAGAACTGTTTGTTGAGAGCTTCATGAAATGGGTTTCCATGGCCGAGCAGCCACACACAAGCCTAAGATCACCATGCGCAATGCCAAGTGTTGACTGGAGTGGGGTAAAGCTTGCCACCATTGGACTCTGGAGCAGTGGAAACGGGAGTGATGAATCACGCTTCACCATCTGGTAGTCCGTCGGACGAATCTGGGTTTGGCGGATGCCAGGAGAACGCTACTTGCCCCAATGCATAGTGCCAACTGTAAAGTTTGGTGGAGCAGGAATAATGGTCTGGAGCTGTTTTTCATGGTTCGTGCTTGGCTCCTTAATTCAGTGAAGGAAAATCTTAATGCTTAGTGCTTCCAACTTTGTGGCAACAGTTTGGGGAAGGCCCTTTCCTGTTTCAGCATGACAATGGCCTCGTGGACAAAGCGAGGTCCATACAGAAATGGTTTGTTGAGATCGGTGTGGAAGAACTTGACTGGCCTGCACAGAGCCCTGACCTCAACCCCATTGAACACCTTTGGGATGAATTGGAACGCTGGATACGAGCCAGGCCTAATCGCCGAACATCCGTGCCCGACCTCACTAATGCTCTTGTGGCTGAATGGAAGTAAGTCCCCGCAGCAAAGTTCTAGTGGAAAGCCTTCCCAGAAGAGTGGAGGCTGTTATAGCATCAAAGGGAGGACCAACTCCATTATAATGCCCATGATTTTGGAATGAGATGTTCGACGAGCATGTGTCCACATACTTTGGGTCTTGTAGTGTATGTATTAATTGTGAACAGCACAACATTATTTTTCTCTCTCTCAATGTTCGTAAAATCTCCAGTGGGTTGTGTTTATTCATATGCAAATATACATATTTTTATGTTGATAAATGAGACCCAAGGGTTTCTTCAGTGCATACGTGCTAAGCAGGCAGGCTTGTCGTTCTTGAAGCCACAGTCGGGGATGTCTTGGGGGGGGGCGCCCCCCGGCCATTGGACCTTCATGCCCGGCACTGGAACCAGCTCCTTCAGGGTGCTGTTGTAGATGGACACAATCTGGAGACACACAGGGTAGAAGGTTATCCATATCTTACTGTAAGACAAGTACTGTAACTTTGGGTGTTGTCTGTGTAACGAAGGTGCCTTGTCATTGTAGGTTTTATAGCTGCTACACTGGAAGAGTGTCTAGGATAAAGAACACAGCTACAGAGTGAGTGTGTATTTACGTACCAGTGTGTTTGTGCCTAACCACCACTTTGTGAGAGGAGCAGTCAGTGCCTACCTGAAAGACCCCAGAGTCAAGATTGGTCATGTCCCACAAGGCAAAGTCAATCTCCCGATCGCCTGCCCCATCAATCTGAACCAAGCCAGTAACACCTGCCACAGAAGAGAAGAGATAGAGAGAGAAAGAGAAAGAGAGAGAGAGAGATAGAGAGAGAAAGAACAGAGAGATTAACACAAAGGATTCAGGTGCACATTTCCTTATTGCTTTCAAGATTGAGCGATGGGCCTTTTGTATGATCCTGTTGGATGATTTTGTTGTCCTTTACAAAATAAATTAACAAACCATAGCCAGCTGGGTCCATATTGTGTAGCACCACCTGTTGCCAGTCCCCGTGTGTTGCTATATCCTTACCCCGGCAACAAAACAAACCAACAGGATCAAAGTGGAAATACAAACTTCAGAAGCCTTTTTAAACCTAAAATACACGTTTAAAATGTCCTGCATTGCAGGTGCAGGAAAGTTCTCCTGCAACAGGGTGATCAAATTAAGCTCCTACATCTGTATGGGGTTAAACCAATAGAGGTATTTTAAACTGAGATATCCTTTATTTTAGCTACTGTAGCTTTACACATCATACTGATATCTTTCCTTTCATCTTAGTTTCTCCACTCACTGTGTAAGCTGGGAGCTAAGGCAAGCTGGTCTTGAGTCAAACCAATATTTCAAGGCAAGACGATCGTGACCACTTGGGGGCAATATTATTAACTAAAAATGGCTAGAACTATTTCTCCCAAATATACAGTATCATGCTGGCATAAGAGGGTAACGTGATTGGGAAATATAGATACTGATACTGTAAAATGTATTGTAAACCTCAAGTCAAAACATGAGGTAAATTAGCAACTTCACTTCCGTACACCGTCTTTAATGTTGGGGAGGGGGTCATGGAAAATAGGAGCATAATGTGATGTAAATCCCCTCTCTTGAATCAAGTCTTGGGTTAAGTCATCCATATCGTACATTCATCTACACTGTGCACACTTGAGACGGACATGGTTTTGAATATCAATAGGGGAAACCAAGGAAAACATATGAGTTGATTCAAACTGATGCCATCCCTTAGTTTGGCTATTGGCCCTACAGTTGTGGGAGCTACAAAGTTAGATTGTTAAAAAAACAAAAACAAAACCCTTTAAAAAACTGTTGCTAGAAGATGTTATGGTGCTGTGTTGCACACGCATTGCAGAAATTGTTCTGCAAATAACATGGCGTGAGCTGACTTTTAGTCCCCATCAACTGTATAACTTCACAGGCACCTAGGCATTTCCCATAATTCACCTCTTTGGCTTATCTGATCAATGACAGAGACACACAGTGTCTGGGAACTAAACCTGCAACCTCGCGGTCAAAAGCCTGGCCTCCAAACCCAAACCTCCCACTAGTTTACCTCTTCAGACCACCGTGGTGGAAGAGTCTAGTAACAAAGTTTAGAAAAAAAACTCTCTCTCTTTCGGCACTCTCAAATTCCTCTATCTTCTGGAATCAGAGTTGAACAGACTTTTAAATGAGCCCATAGAAATGATGTATTATTTAGTATTTCTACCTTGCTCAACGTCATAAAAAAATGAATTAATGTATTTTCTCTGTGTCCAACATGCTGCCTCCTACATGTTCTACTGCTCTGACCTCAGATCAGATATGTGCGGTATCACAGTGGCTGTCCCTGACCTGAGTCTATAAGGCTCATAGTTCACTGAGGTAGTACAGCTCATTCAGAGACAAAATGTACCAAACTACTGCTTATAAACTACAAGGTCTCTAAGCTTTACAAGGTGAATCACAGATGGAATGCATTTATATAATGCTCAAGGCCTAGGTCTCAAAGCGCTTTACATTGTATGGGGGTTAATTAGCACATAATTAGTCTACGGTCTTACTTTCAAGGGCTTTCGGCCCAGATAGCCATGGTTCTTTCAAAACCGTCATCATTTCAACAGACATGCACAGATTGATCTGTTCTGACATATACAAAGGACATAATGCCCATTACAGTAAACTCAGTCCCTAAAAAGGATGTCATTTGTTGCTACACTACATGATGTCTGTCTATAAGAAATCATGATTATACTGCCAATGTATGGCTTCTCAGTGTCAAACTATATAGAGCAGCTACCCAACTTTGAATCTACAGGACAGATATCCATCACTTGTAAATCTGACAAAAAAAAATGTTTGAATAGTTGTCAAATGTTTCCCTCTTCTCCCTGCCTTGAAGTAATCATCACTAATCGAACACGACTGGAAAGGTGAAAGCAAGGGTTCCACTACATAATTTAACCTAGTCCAAAAAAGTCAGATCTAGGATTACTTCAAGGAAGGAAGAAAGGAAGGAAGCAGGGAAGGACTAAAGGAAGAAAGGACTGAAGGAAGGAAGAAAGGATGCATTTGAAAAGTTTTCTAACAGAGCCGTTTGTATAAACGTCAGAAATCTTCACTCTTTCGCACTTGCTGTCCTTGTTATAAAAACTCCATCCCTTGTAAAATACCTGGCTAATTAGCGTGGGAGTAAAAAGCACAGTGGCAGCAGCGCTTATCTCTGACAGTACTAATCGTGCTAGCAGTGGCATGTGGTTTGGCTAGGCGGGTGAGCGTGGGAGTGGTCGAGGGGTGCATTGAAAACAGAACTGTAATTAAAGCAAGTAAAGTGTGTGTGTGTGTGTGTGTGTAGAGAGACAGCGAGGAGATAGAGAGGAAGAGGAGCAGATCTCGTCTGACATGTTTTCCCAGCTGTCAGTCAGACAGGCGGAGCCCGAGGGGTGGGCTGTGCACCACCACAGCGAAATAAAGAGAATTTGCATTTAACTGAATGATAACAGCGATGCTGCTTTTAATCTGGAACCGGGTGATGTGACAAAGACAAAATTGATCAAGCTTTCTGGCTTTCAGTCTCAAATGTAGAAACAGATACACACACACACAAATATCCAGACCATCTTCCATGTTTCAAATCAGCCATACATGAAGGTCACCCACAGGTTAAAACACACACACATCAACCCCTGGCCCATTAGTCATTGTAATAGGAGCCCCTCTGTGTAGAAGCTGAAACTCAATGCCCTGCCCCTGACTCCTAGTGCCTGTACTGCTCCATTGGCAGTATCAGTCCTGCCGGAACACTGTCATTCACTTCACAGGACCACTCTGCCTCATTCCCTCTCTGTTTGGCCGAAATTATGTTTCCTTTATATTTGTTTGCTATGAACAGTCAGTTCTCTTTCTTTTTTTCATTTGAATTAGTATAAAATAATATCATTTCCCAATTTGTTTGAGTATACAATATAGCCCCATATTTGAATTATTTATTTTATTTTATAGTCTTTTTTTTCTTTATCAAGGGTGCCAATCATTTTGGACCTGACTATTTATAGTCCAGTGTTAATGTTTCTCTTTTAATTCCCTTCAATCTTTTCCTATTTCTGTGTCCTTCAATGTTTTTTTTCCATTTCTCTCACCTCACTTTTCACAATTTCTGTGATTTCTCATCTCTCCCTCTTTCTTCCCCTCTCTGCTACACTCCCCATCTTATTTACCCACTTTGTCTGAAACCACTCTCTCAACCTTTTATCTCTTATCTTTCCCTCTCTCCTTCTTTCCACATCTCTCCTTTCACTCTCTGTAACCACCTCAGTCCATCTCCCTACCATCTCCTCTCCCCATCTCTCCTCTTCACATCTCTTCCACTCTCTCTCCACACTTTCGTAACCTCCTCCTTCAATCTCTCCATCTATCTGTTGCCAATCCGCCTGAGTCGCCAGGCTCAGTGGGTTTCAGTATAGACCTCTATAAGAGAGCTGGCTAACCCATTGTAGTGATTACATAGCCCAGTCCACTTATATCTCCCTGGTCCTCCGCCAATCTGTCTTTTTGTGATGAGAGCAGAGCACTCTACCCATCCTGACCACATCTGTCACTCACTGCTCAGATCAATGAAGAGGTACCTGGTTTACCCCTGTTCTATGAAACCTCCATTAATTGAGTCTCTTCCAGCGTAGGTCCCGCTTGTTATTAAAGCTTATTTATGTCTTATTCATGTCTTATTCATGCCTTATTAATGTATTATAAATGATTAATAAACTACAATGGAAGGTCACTCGGTAACAAGCTAAGTTGACATTTCCTTTGTCATTTTCACTGTGAAATGAACAAACAGAATATGATGTTTGTGTTTGCTTTAGTAATGTCAACACAACCCACTGATAATTATGAAGGCCATCTCTCACATAATATAAATAGGCCATTTTAATTTAATTTAAATACCTTTCTTTTAAGTCCTGTGTGGCTCAGTTGGTAGAGCATGGCACTTGCAACGCCAGGGTTGTGGGATTGATTCCCATGGGGGACCAGTACGAAAAAGTATGACAAATGTATGCACTCACTACTATTGTAAGTCGCTCTGGATAAGAGCATCTGCTAAATTACTAAAAATGTTTTTTTTAAATCCCTGTATGTTTAAAAGCTATACATTCCAATGTAGTGGCCTCTTCCATGTCACACTGAAACAATCAGCCAGGAAACACACAGGAACCCATGGCTGTTAGACAACCCAAAACATGCATGTCCCAATGTATCCGGGGCTTCTTAAAACTGTCAACACGGAAGCAACCAGCCAAGAAGTCACAGAGGAACCAACCACACACGACCTAATGTAACATCGGCCCATTGCCTGAGACATATGGTATGGATTTATCATGGAATAATACAGGCTTTCCCTTACGAAATGCAACAGTGCCGCACCGTATTGTCACCGAGGGGGTTGTGGGTAACTGAAGAGCCATGAAAAGAGGCTTGTGGAGTTCACAGAGAGTGGGCTGTGGGAATAGGAGAGACCGAGCGATCCCACTCCCAGGTTGGGATTAGGAGAAGACGAAAGATGGGAATCACAGGAGAACAACATCAACCTCCAGCCTCCATGTTCCCATGGACCCCTGCTGGGTAGACGCCTTCTTATCTCTGCAGCGATTGGTTTATGAGGCTTAACTGATGGCATAAAGAGGGAAATTTATTGGTTGAGCATCCTTTGCTACAGGAGTCTGTTGATATAGTTAGGCTAGTGGGTCCTGATTTCTGTCGATAGTTTAACTGAGTATGTACAGATGTAGGATCTAAATTTGATCACTCTCTTGTTGATGAGAATTTTCCTACACTGCAGGAAATGCAAACCTGTAGTGTATTCACGGTTTTAAAAGGCTTCTAAAGTTAGTAATTTCCTGTTTAAAATGCCAGACTAGATTTGCCCTAACGAAAAATGTATCCTCCCCTACAAAACAAATCCATTAATTATAATACACATAATAATTCACA